GAACTATGTCCCACCCACCCCAATTTGAACCCCTAAAAACAAGTTTGACTGTGTAAAGTACTATGGTAAACTTGTTAAAAAAGTAAAAAGATAAAAGGTTGTATGGATTTTTTGCAAAATTTACATGTTTTCGGGCTTTCTATACAGGTAAACGTCTGAAGAGGTTGACATGTACGGGACAACAAAATACAGACTTGTTGTTATTGAGTTTGCCAACATGAACCGCTACCTGAGAGGCACTACTAGCCCCTCCCCCGTCAGAGTGTCAGAGCAGGACAAGTCAGTGCAACGTCAATCAAATGAGAGAGAGGGTGGGGGCAATTGCTGCATTAGGGGGGGAGAAAATGTTTTACGGATAGAGTAGTTTATTTTTCCTGTAATACTTCATTACAGTTTTTTAAGACAAAGCTAATTGAAAGGGGTGCTGAGCAGAGTTACAACCAGCGATTACAAATAATTACTTTTTTTCTTCTGCAGTTCGGCACCCCCTCCAGCAGATGGCGGTCTAGGCGACCGCCTAGTTCGCCTATGCCAAGAGCCGGCTCTCTGCTGTTTGCAAAAATCTTTCCATGTAAATAATAACTAATGCAGAATGGACAGTGATGTAAGAGAGTTTAGTACATAATATTTGTATAGTTAAATATGAAAATGAGACTGTAGTTGTTTTAAGACAACAACTTCGTTATTAGCAACATTCAGATTAGATGTTAGCATCAGTCCTGTCAGAATAAATGCTTTTTCTAAGCTGAAGTTGTTCAAAAAGCTGCAGTAGCTGCACTGAATTATTATGGTTAATGTCTAAACTAAGCTTTTTAACTACAATCTTTTTGTAAGTTGTTCCAACCTGCCAGAGTGCTGGCCATCCCTGCATAATATTCAATACAAAGTCTGGCAGAGTCCACGTCCAGACGGGCCTCTGTGATGGACTTCCCGTTGTTCACCACCTCCATCTCGGCGATTTCCTCTCTCCTGCGCTGCGTGAAGAGAGAACAAACATTTTGAACTCTGTTTTATGGAGCTGAAACTGCATGAAGAGAAAGAACCCTTTAAACACCTCAATGATGTGGGCGGCTTCGATCAGGACCCTGGCCCTCTCCAGTCCAGACATCTTGCTCCAGGGGCCGAAGGCCGACTTGGCTGCTTTCACAGCCTGATCAACCTCCACAGCCCCGCATGGTTCCAGGTGGCACAGGACACGGCCTGAAAACAAAACAAGTTTTTATTACAACCAAAATTCTGACAAAGTTAGGGACATGTGTGAAATGTAAATTAAAAATTAAATTCTAGGATTTGCGGACTGGTTCTGAAGAAAACGAAGTATCTGACCACAGAACAGTTCTCCACTTTGTCTAAGTCCTTTTTAAACAGATCTGGTTTTAATGCAGTGGCCCCTGAGGGCCCGAAGATCACAACCATCTAATACTGACTTTCAGCCTTTGAGCTTCTTTTAAAGTGTCTGTGATAGGCATATCCTTCAAATACAAAAAGAAAATCTCTTTATAATAAAGAAACTTGGCCTAATAAACATGATTTTACTCATTTTGTCACATTTTCACTTGAATTTGGCTCAGCCAAAGAGAAACAGGAAGTGACATCAAAGGGGAACTCTCTGGTCTTTGTTTATTGAAACAATATCTAAACTCTGACTCTTCTTTATCTCTCTAATAGACTCAAAATAATCTACAGAAGCATCAGATTGTTCTTAATCTGTTGGTTATTGTAGCAATGCTCTGTTTACATTCAGACATTCCCCTTTGACATCACTTCCTGTTTATTCACATGCAAATATCTCAACAGCTGTTTCTCTCAGAAGAGTGAAATTTACAACCTTTTTAAAATTATGCTATTGAAGTTACCTTTTCAAAAACACATTCGTATTTATTGCAAAATTTTAATGCAACTGTCACTTTAATATTATGAACTGCAGATAACAAGAGATTCAAAGTGTTTCCAATTTTCCATTGAGAAACATTATTCTGAAACTATTTGACAGTTTTTTCACAGACTGGTGAACCTGTGCCTATCTTAACTTCTAATAGACTAACTTCTGTTGCTCCTGTTCACATATTTAAGATGCGTTGCTGCCACCAAATTTAAAATTACACCCCCCACCTTAAAATGATACAATATCTTAGTTTAAACATTTGATAGGTTTACTATGTTATAACGTGATTAAAATATGGGTTTACAAAATTGCATTATATTTCTTTATTTACATTTACACAACCTTGTTGGTGTTAGGGTTGTAAATAATGTATTTAGTAATGACTGCAGATATAGAAATCAAATACAAGCCTGTAGGCTACAGATTTCTAAACACTGACTTTAGTTTTTAAATGACAGCAATGCTTGACTTGACTGACCTGACTTTGAATAAGCAAATAAAAATGAAAGGACTAATGAGCTGCAAAAAGGTTTTGAGTAATCGTAGATTTACAGAAAAACTTGTAAATAGCTAGCCTGGCCCTTGCCTTCCTACGCAGTTCCACTCAATTCTAGTTTCCCTTCACTGCTCCGTCTGGGATTTCTCCCATAGACAAGGATTTCGCTGGCAGATTTTTAGCCGGACCAATCAGAGAAGAGAACGTCAATTTGCTGTGCAGTGTCTGCTTGTAGTTTATTTTACCTGGGCCAATCAGCAAACAGAAGGCGGAGTTTTGAATGACGTCAATTTTCTGCGCAGTGTCTGCTAGTTATTTTAGTATGCTAAAAACTGGCAGACACTGTGTCACCTCGAGTGAAGAAACAAGATTTTCTGCTTCTAAGCAGGCCTCGGACAGGCCTGACAAGAAGACAGGAACTCTGTTAAAAACTGAACTCTATTTAGGCCATGACAGGTCATTCTAACCGTGGAAGAGAACCCCTCAGTTCTCTTAATCAGATAATGGACAGAACAATCTCTTCTGTTCGTGATTCATGTGTGTTTAACTAAGAATGTTTATGCATTTGTTAAATCATGATAATGACTGTCACAGGAAAAGTGGAATGACTTCTTTCTTTTATCGTGCCTTAGAGATTTATAGTGGAATAAAAAAAATCACAGAGAATCTGATTGTAATGTTTTCATTGTGTTTTTATACAAATCACTGTTTTTATTTTACTGTGAACACAGTAATATAATTGTGGATTTTTCTTGAGAAAATCTTTCATTTATTTGGACCAACAGAATGGTTCAAAGCTGATTATAAAACAGAAATGTTAATCAATCATCATAAATGTTTTGCAGTGATTTCTCTTTGAGTCTATCAGAAGAAAGCTGAAAAGAGTTTATTATATCATGTCGTTGAACAACAACAGAATTTTAACCTTGGGCTGGCGCCGGCTGGCAAATCTTTATCTTTTTTTCTCTGACTCATCTCTAAGCCTGAGGGCGGAACCAAAGTTCGTCCGTTTCTTTTGCTAACCTGGACGGCTTTGAGCAACACACTCTACTTCCTGATTCCAACCTAGGAAGACAGCTGGGATTCTCTCCGGAGAATCCCCAGTTTGGCTTTAAGTCTGATCCCATGAGCTAACTAGGGAAGACTYYACAGCCAGGGACCCGGCATGCCTGTCGGTGGTTCCAAATCTCTAAGTGTGTTTTTAACTCCCGAGGGGAGATTTTATTTTGGAAGGAGGAACCGGTTATGGCTGGAAGTTTTCTGGCTTGGACTGAAACAGACACAAGTTACCTGGAAAAACACCTGTTCGCCAATGACCGGTAAGTGAGCCGACATCAGTTCCCTGAATGATCGGAGGCGAGCCAGCTCCTACCCCGAGGATGCCTTAAGAAGTCATCACCAGGTAAAGCTGATGTGTTCGGAGTGACGTGTCATGTGGAACCTGAGCCGAGAAAAGACGTGCAGTTCCAGTTGACCCACACTTTGATAAAAGTAAAAGTCGCAGTAACATACTAATCTTACTTTCCTCCTTTCSTTGTTCTTAATTGGCCAAAACTTAAGCTAAAAGTGCCAGTAAAATTGTTTGGTTGTCAACATCAGAACTGACGTTTTTACTGTTCTATATAAGTAATCTGAGTTGATGTGAATTAAAATTCGGACGCGGGTTTTATCTCATTTAACTCTGACACTTGTTATAGGAATAACCACAATCAAGTGTAACTTGTGATCTGTTCAATTTGTGTAAATAAATGATTGCATAGTCTTTTATGAATCAACTTGAACTCGTCTGAACGTTCACTTATTGTGTCACTTTCACTTCACACAGTCAAGATATTAACAAGTAATGAGAAATACCTTGGTAAAAGTTTTCCTCATAACCTTGTGTATGAGAGATGTGGTAAAAGCTTAATTCACCTTAAGCTCACTCTTACACATACAGCAGTGGAGGAAGTGAATGAAGCCAGTCCATGTTGAAAAGGCTTCCAAATTAAAATAAATTTGTCTGACAAACCAGCAGCTCTCATTTACAGTCGTCTCGTTCGGCTCGGTATATTTCTCCTCTCAGTAGGGTTGTTTACAGCACACACGATTTCCAGTTAGCTTCTTAGCTTAGCCTCCTTCACACCGACAACACACACATGCTTCAGCAGAGGCCACGCCTCCTGCAAGAATGTCCTGATGCATCTCAGGACATTTCAGGACAAGAATCACTTCTCTAAGCAGCAAGTCCAGACTAATGATGGGATAAAAGGCTCTTTGAAGGGATCCGGATCTTGGGGAGTCGTTTGTTTCATCGAGCCGTTCAAAAGAGCCGTTCGATTTTGAACATATTACGTCATCACGTAGGGAAATACATCATCACGTAGCCATACGAAATGACGTAATTCCATCACGTGGGTGGAACCATGTGTTTGTCAAGTGGACCC